TATTTTGGTTGTAATCTACCGGAATTTCTACCTGAAACCCCAGAAATATTTTTAGTTTTATTTCTACAATATTTCCCGGAACTCGGCAAATAATTTGTAGAATTTATCAAAAATCCATTTTGATTATAAAATTAAAATTTACAGAAAAGAAGGAATTAGAATCAATATTTATTGGAGTCAAGAAAAATTTATATAAAATTAAAGAATTGGATCCAAGAAATTTTCTTATCCCTAATAATGAAGCTTTTTGTTATGAATGTGAAGCGTGTAGAGTTAATGGCTATAACTTTGTGGTTCTTACTCCTGACATGACAAAGATTAAATACCATTTGAATTCTTCAGATCATAAAACTGCAGTTAACCGTAATCATTTTAATTTTATTATTTTACAATATTTAAAACATTTAGTATAACAAAGTCCGTTATTCAAAAAATTCCTAAGCTATTACCAAGTTGAGTTAATAAAAAGCTGTTAAGCTCCTCACTAATCTCATCTTCTTGATTATTTTCTATAATTAAAATTTAAAATATTAAGTTCAAATATAAACAGTCAGAATGGTCATCAACCGAGACTGTGCAAACTAAGTGCCCCTTACAAAAGAGCCAAACGGAATTTGGGATTTGAATCTCGCGAGATTTAGTCTTATAAACTTTTTAATCTAAATGGGGGATGCAGAAAATCCATTTATGCTGGACAATCATCGACTCTTTAAGAATCGATTCCAAATTTATTTGTGGCTCGAATTAGATTAAAGTTGACCGAAGACACGAAGCTAAATAATCCAAATCTAATGAGAGGATCGTAACATATGATAGGCATGTGCTTATATTTGTATCGTGTCACGCAGAAGGTGATGCGACTTTTGCGGCGCGTAAACTTGCGGCCCAGACTATTGCGGTTTTGCCATTTGAGGCTTCCCCCTATTGTGACACTTGCGGCCCGACATTTGCGGCCCCAACATTTATTATCTTTTGATGTGCATACATTTTGGCGCAAGGTAGTTTGTTAGATAAAGGAGGGTGTGTTGTTCCAAGAACGGGATATTGTGAGTTATGTTTTTTTATGTTAATGGATAGTTTTAGTCTATCAGGTGTCATTCGAAAGAGCTTGGAATCGCATCCCTAAACACCACACAGTTTAGGTATATGAGAAATAAGCTCTTTGATCAACAATAGTATGTGTAGATCATTTGATCAAATTTTCAGCCTTCGTTTATTTTAATAAGAAATTATTTTTTACCTTCAAAGTCTACATCATTGTAATCAATAGAACGTTGTTCAGTTGTGTTATACCCTTTAAAGTGCTATTTTTCAACCTATACATATTTTATTATGTTACATTTATTATTATTTCGAGGACGTAAAAACTAAATCACATTTTTTATTATTTTCATTTTGTATGTTTAGAATTTTTCAATATTTCCCCGAAAAATTTCTCTCTGATAAAAGTCACATCCCTGACTTCCGGACGATTGTCGCGATACAGCTATGTTCAGTACATAAGCTAATAAGTAAGACGAAAGGATATGTATTTTGTACGTTAGCTTAGGAATTTTTTGGATAAGGGACTTTGTTATACTAAATGTTTTAAATATTGTAAAATAATAAAATTAAAATGATTACGGTTAACTGCAGTTTTATGAGCTGAAGAATTCAAATGGTATTTAATCTTTGTCATGTCAGGAGTAAGAACCACAAAGTTATAGCCATTAACTCTACACGCTTCACATTCATAACAAAAAGCTTCATTATTAGGGATAAATAAATTTTCTGGATCTAACGTTTTGATTTTATCTGAATTGTTCCTTCTTTTCTGTAAATTTTTATTTTATAATCAGAGTGGATTTTTTGTAAAATTCCACAAATTTTTGGGCGAGTTCCAGGAAATATTTTAGAAATAAAACTAAAAATATTTCTGGGTTTCCCGGTAGAAATAACATAATTTTTTTCACGGGCTATTAGTTTTTATGTATTTTTATTATTGCCGTTTAGTAAATGTTAATTTTGAGACGAATTTATTAATTAAATAATTATAATATTAGTAATCGTTACTTTTTTCATCATGAGTTATTTTTGTTACTCTTTCATCAAAATTCTTATGCGCATTGTTGTGGCCTTTAAAATGAGCTTTATGCTCAAACCAAAACTTAAACATAAAATAATTTAAATTTTAATATTTTATTAAATTACATATCTCCCACAGCGATTACAACCAACATAAATCTTTTTATCTTTCATTCCTTCAGCCAGATGATAATTATTCAAACCGTTAACTTCTTCAATCCATTTATAACGATCTAATTAATTTTTAATATTAATTTTAAAAATGTTTAAATTATGTGCCGGATTATAATGTTCGATTTAAATAATATTTTGAAAACATATTTTTAATAACTTACAGGCTTTTGATTTAATGGAATCTTTCGGACTTTTATTAGGAATTATCTTCATATACACTTTGATGTTATGTAATTGCATAAGCTGAGGAATATTGTGAAAAAAGGGATTAGTATGCATATTTTCCATTTCGTGAATAGGAACGTTTTCTGAAGCTAAAGGCTCCGCTGATCCATGAACATTTGGGTCAGTAGAATCAGTTCCAGCAATGTTAGTTTGTTCTGTTTCAGTTCCACTTGATTCTGGCTCTCGGTATTCTGTAGGATTAAGTCTTGCTCTTTTTGAAGAACTTCCTTTTCCCGATCCAATTATAGGCGTTATAAATAAAAAAAGAAAAATAATGGTTGAAATTTTCATTATTTTTTCTGAAAATATTTTTATATTTAGAGTAGATTTGAAAAGTTTGTAATTATAAATAAATTTTTAAATGGTCGCGCCGCTGAAGTTTGATTAATAAATAAGGTTACAATGTAACGAACACTCAAGTGCGTTTTCAACTTTCATATGATTAAGTATGGGCATATGATTAAGAATGGGCGTATGATTAAGTATGGGCGTATGATTAAATATGGGCATATGATTAAGTATGAGCATATGATTAAGTATGGGCGTATGATTAAGTATGGGCATATGATTAAGTATAGGCGTACGATTAAGTATGGGCATATGATTAAGTATGGGCGTATGAAGTATGGGCATATGTTAGTATGGGCATATGATTAAGTCCAGGCTGCTGTCGGAGACTTACCTAACATTTCCGAAGAATGGGCGTATGATTAAGTATGGGCGTATGATTAAATATGGGCATATGATTAAGTATGGGCATATGATTAAGAATGGGCGTATGATTAAGTATGGGCGTATGATGAAGTATGGGCATATGTTAAGTATGGGCATATGATTAAGTATGGGCGTATGAAGTATGGGCATATGTTAGTATGGGCATATGATTAAGTCCAGGCTGCTGTCGGAGACTTACCTAACATTTCCGACTCAGTGAAACTCTCCTATCTCAAATCCTGCCTCCGTTCGGCTCCTTTAGCCGTTATTTATCCTGCCCTCTTGTGGACCAATCTTACCCTCAGGCAGTCGATTTACTAGAACAGAAATATGAAAATCCTACCGAAATTTCCCGCTCATTATGCCAATCCCTCAAACAACTACCAACAGTTAGAAAAGGAGACAACTTTTGCCGTGATTTATCGTCCCTAGTTAATGGGTTTGAAAGCTAATCTGCTGATTTACTCAACAAGGAGAAAATACAGACAACATCCATATTCAATTGGAAATAGAATCCAAACTACCTACTTTTGTATTAGAAGAAATCTACAAAGCAAAGAAAATAACAAAGCAAAGAAAAAAAATAATCCGATTTAATGTTAGTTTATTTAACATACAGACATGGATAGTTTAGATTTTAGTTTTTGTCAGATGTATTTTTATCAATAATCTTATTATAGTATCACTTATGTTATCAATTGTTAAATCTTGACTTTTGAAAAACCTCCTACATGCCTTAGGAATTATTACTAATATTATTACTAATAATTCTTTACACAATGCTACAGTTCACAAGGTGATGCATAATAGATAAAATATAATAAATAATAATCGAATTTTCTCTTTGATTCAAAGATATGTTTTTTAGAGGTGTTTAGAACACTCAGTTATCTTTACGTGCTTTTCCATTACTTTTTTGAGTGAAAATTTTTTTATCTCTACTTACCCTCTCATATTACGTACAACCAACCAAGTTAGTTTAAATCTGTATAGAAAATATCGTGACAGGGCAAAACTATCTCCAGACAAAAATTTCGACCAAACAAAGTATATATCGGTTGATTTTGAAGAATATCGGGAATTGAAGGGATTAAGGAATCATACACTGCTCCACATAACTATAACCTCACCCACAGAAATCATATTAGGAATGCTTGAAAAATTTTACAAAAATTTAAGCAAACATTTCCATTGATAATAAGCGATTAGCAAAAAGAACGAAGTCTTTATGTGCTTTTTTCTTCGGGATCCAAAATCTCGAAAATCAACGGGAAATGGGAGGTACAGTACTTAAAAATATTTTCACAAGTGTAGACTGTAGATAAAATTTTTTATTATAGTCCATCTGAAAGCCCACAAAATTTGCTACAAAAAACATTTAGTCCTATCATCGAGAAAAATTTTATCACTGGAGAGCAATCGGTTAAATTTAGAAACTCGAAATAATGATATTTTATGGGGTAATTTGGGTGAATTCATTATGTGGAGCAGTGTATACTATTCTCATAAATCTTTTTCCTTATTAATACCTCCAAATTTCATTAATCCAAAAAATCTGACAAAAGAAGCCACCAAATCAATTTATATTTCATTTATATCGCCAAATCTTCAGTTTTGAACACTATTATGTCTGACGAAGTTTTAAGGAATGAAATTTTGTCTGGACTAAGATTTGCCCTGACACGATATTTTCATTAGTCTAGATTAATGGTTGTTAATAGTATAGGGAGATGGAATTATGAGAGAAAAATTTGTAGCCAAAAAAGTCAGTAAAAGCAGATAGAGATAACGGAGTAACTTTCCCTCGCAAAAATTAAAAAAATTTAATCATCGCAGTCTTCTTCATCCTCCTCTTCCTCTTCATCCTCCTCTTCTACTTCATCCTCTTCTTCTTCCTCCTCTTCTTCTTCTTGAGCACCTTCACTAAAACGATTTTCAATGAATACATGACCCAAATGTAGATTTGATTCCGAATTCTCCATCTTTAAACTAAACAATTCATCTCTTCCAACACCATAAAAAGAAAATTGGGCATATTGATAATTTATACTAACAGCAACAAATCCACCATTATTGTAGTTATCCATATCAAGCAATGCTTCTAATTCTTTCAATTGCTTCTTTATTTTCTTTAACTTTATTGCTAATTTTTCATCATTTATATTCCGAGCTTCAAGCCATTTTTTCTTCTCCTCGAGTAGCATCTTCTCTGTTTTTATGTTAACATTTTTAGAGCTTCTCAATTTGTCATTTTCGTCTTTTTGTTTTTTATTGAGACCATAAGGATAACTTAATTTTATGGATATAGTATAAATTGACTATTGTGTTAATCAAAATCGACCTCGTGTATCACAAACTTTGCTTGAGCTCGTGACTAGCACAAGATACGTTAATGGTAGAGTCCAAGTACGCCCTACTCTAATATGATTAAACTAGGCTGGACACGCCCTGGAAAAGTTCGGGGTCGTGTTAGTTGGGGTTGATAATGTCGGAGTCTGCCTCGATAAAATCCTTAAGGGTCTAGGTTGGAAGGTTTGGGGTTGGGGTGGGTTTATTTGAAAATGTTAAGTGTTCAGATTATGGTTAGACGGGATTGGATCTCTTGATTATACATATTTTTAATTTTTAATGCCTTGAGCTGGGAAGCCCAAAAATGTTTTTTTTACGTCCGAGCACTTTAGGACCCGGTTCTTAATGCATATATTTGCATATTTAAAGGGACATTTTTAAAGGGACAATAAAGGGACTTCTCAAACATATCCTTATTACTTATACATACATACCCTTCGCTTAAAAATGTTGTCTGCAAGAAAGTATAAAAATCACTCCACACATTAGCCAATGCCTAGAAGAATATAGGAACACCAAAGATTGTATATAGAGTCCAAAATCCCTGATTCAACTCATTGCATGGCCAAATATATTACATCACGGGATATAACATCACCCATTTTCACTTTTATTATTTAAGTTTCATTTGTAAAATTTTTATAAATATAAAAATGAGTAAATAACCTTTTTATTTTTTTAAAAATTATTTATAGATATTTTACAATTATTCGAAATTAATATTTTTTAAAAGAATAATATTCAAAAATTTTCCTCAACTATTAATTTCGTTAATTTATTCAGAAATTAATTATTAAATATCTTTATTTATTTCCTAAAAATTTTTAAATAAAATAAAATTTTTTGGAAATAACTTAATTTTTAAAAATTTTCTTCAAAAATTAAATATTTAAAAAATTTTTTAAAAGTTAAAGATAATTTTTTCAAAAGCTTTTAAAAATGTATTTTCAAAAATTAATTATTTAAAAAATTTATTATTTTAACAATTTCTTACTTAAAAATTTTTTAATTGCTTAAAGCTTTTAACTCCTTCAAATATTAATTACTTTAAAAATTTCTAGAAAAATTAATTTAATTTATTTAAAAATCACTTATTTAAAAATTTATATTTATTTCATCATTTTTACAAAGAATAATTTTCGGGGAATAAATATGAATTTTTAAAAAAGTTTTCTAAAAAAAGTAATAATTATATTTACATATTTAGATTTCCTTAAATTTAAAATTTTTTTATTAATTTCTTTATTTATTAATTAAAAATTTTATTCAATATTTTTCTTTTTTCAAAAATTAATTTTAATTTATAGAATTGTATTTTTACGCGGCTTTTAAGACAAAACTTGTTTTGTCTTAAAAGTCGTGTATAGACTACTTACATTTCTTAGGCAACCGTCAAAATTGTTTATAAAAAATATAAAAAACTTCAACTTTGGCATAGAATTCTGGGAAATTAAAATATATGTATGTACGTTAATAAAAGACCATTAAATGTGGGAAAAAAGTAAAACCCATAAATTTTGAAACAAAAGTACTTTAAATTAAATGCGTGATAAACATATTAAAAAATTTTTTATAGCCTTTAGTTTTTTTCGCATTATTAAAGTTAGCATTAAAATGGATGAAAATTATTATCACGATCTCTTAATAATACTCATACAACAGTCAATTTCCATTGTTGGCATTATTCTTAATTTGACAGTCGTATGGGTGACTTTCAAACACAAGTCTTTTAATTTTTTAACTTTTCTGAGTACTTACACCAAACTTTGAAAATCCACCTCTATTCGACTAACATTATCAAGCTGTGTCGAATGGTACAACTAATGCTCCTTGGCTGTGGACCAAGAGTATGTATATGGTCCTTGCAATTCGAAAAATCACAAGGGGTGACTTGATTTTGGTTGAAAATTTCGAATATACAAATGACAGGTCATTCAAATGATTCAGCTGAGTCACCATTAAATGTGGGAAAAAAGTAAAACTAAAACTGATTCGAATAGAACCGGATTTTTTCAATTTGTGGAACAAACGACTATATTCTTATAATAAATTCCAGAAATCTCCAAACAAGTTATGGACTTTTTCTTTCTATTAATTGTCTATGTGACGCAATTCTCGAGTCTGGATCATTTTTGCCGACAATTCTAGTGATAATGCACACAAAAATTCCTATAACCTATTGTTCATTTGCTACCAGCTGGCAAAATATAGTCACAAGCATAAATTCCAACCTCAATATGTTTTTCATTAGCGTGGATCGTATTGTTGCTCTACTTTTTCCATTATTGTAAGTCTTTAAAAATTTTAGGAATTAGGTTAGTAGTACTCCCTCATTTTCCTTTTTAGTTCACTGAAAATTTTGAGCTTTATTTTATCTCTTTTTCCTTAACTTTTCTTAAGTTTTTAATAAAATATGCAACTAAAATATTTAACAATAAAATGATTTGTGTAACTATGATTAAACGACATCGAGCTCGGTACTTTCTTGAAGAGCTTGAACATGGTCATGTGAAGAATAAAGGAAAAATACCGAAGTGTAAATGTGAAAGATGGACAGTGAAATATGAAAATAATTAGGTTAACCAATATCCCCTTGGTTGACCACTGCATTGTAATAAGCTATTTTAATAAGCTATTGTAATAAGCTATTGTAATAAGCTATTGTAATAAGCTATTGTAATAAGCTTCCCTATTTTCATCTCCAAGGCATAATTTTCTTTCCCAATTGAATCTTTTAAAGTAAAATTAATACTTTAATTTAAGTTACCGCTTTGTTCTAAAGAAAGGGGCCGTTAAATACGTAATGGTTCTTAATACACTTTCTCTGACATATTGCTTTATTATCATGATTTTTGGTTTTAACTATGCTCTTGAAAACCCGGATATGTATGTTATTAAAGGGAAATCTTTTAACTTAAAATTACCCTTTAGTAAAGTTTACTGCAATGTCCCAGAACAAATTGGAGGCGAAATACGTAGTTTTGCTTATTACGAGTTTACTTTGGTTACTTTCGTTACTATTATTAATTATATCGTTGTTGGAATTATTATAAAATGTATGTTTAATTTAAATTTTTATGTTGCTATTAACATAATCGGTTGTAAGTCCATTTATTTCCGGGCCGTAATCCTGCAAATTCAATCGGATCCGCTTCGCCATGAATACGAAACTCAGAATATAATAATTTTGCATGTAAAGTTATAATGAGACTACTAGAAGACCATTCAGATTCATGACATGTGATGATCACTGGTTTCGTATATCACGATCCGCGATCTTTATCCAAACCTAAAATTTGGAACGGGCATTCCTAGTGGCTAGATAAGGATATCCTAATAATTAATTTATACTGTTTTATGATTTAATGTTTCAGTATATCAAAACGGAGAATCAAACATTCAACAACTTCAAACCAAGCGGATCTACAGATCACTTATTATAATATTATTTGTCATAGTTTTCTTGAATTTAAATGGAGTGTGTTTCACTAAATTTATTATTCCGTTAATAACAAATGATCCAGAAATGATATTATTTTATGTTCGTCTATTTGCTCAGTTAATACCGATCTCTGGTGCAATAAATGCACCAGTTTTGTATTTTTGCAGGTAAATATAAATTATTTAAAAGAAATTTAAAATTGGTTCATTTTCCTTTATCAATACATATAATCGGCTTTTTTGGACTTTCTTGCAGACAACATTTTTAAGCGAAGGGTATGTATGTATAAGTAAGAAGGATATGTTTGAGAAGTCCCTTTATTGTCCCTATAAAAATACCGTATTTTATCAATTAGATTTTCTATCTTTTAAAATTACAGCTCTGAATATCGGCATGCTCTGAACAAAGAATTTGCTTGGATTTTAAAGTTCTTCCGAAAGATACCGTCAATATACCCTACCTCGAGTATTGTTATAAAGGTTCAAGCAGTTACAACTGTTCATCCTTTTCAAAATCAATTACAACCAAAATGAAGGGAGGATTTTAAAGATTTCTCTTGATTTTTTGAAGGATTTCTCTTTGATTCCGCGATTGTCTCTAAATTTTCCGGTCATTAATTTGAAGCTTGATATTTTATTAAATAAATTGCGTTTGATTCTTTTAGCTTAAACTTTAAAAATTTAATTAAGCCAAACTTTGGTTCAAAATAATTATTAAATTATATTAAACAGACAGGAAGCAAGCGTTAAATTATTAAATTAATTTACAATTTTTATAAAATGAAAGAACAATTTGACACACCTACGATTTTTCACTTTATTCCACGTCTTATTTGATTATTGTTTTAATTTTAAAAATCTTTTTCAATTTTATAGAACAGTTTTTTTTGCTGAAAGTTTTCCATTACTGATCCTATGTGACACTTAAAGAGTGACGTAGTAGAGAGTGTCTACATTGTTTTTAACTGCTATTAAATTATTTTTAATATTTCCAAAAAATTTTTAACACAAAAATAAATTTTTTTAAATTATGTAACACAAACATCATACTAAAAAGGAGAAGTTATTTTTTTCAGATTACCTGTCTATTTTTAAAATAAAATTTTTTAAATTATAATTTTGTCTGAATTTTTCTTTTTAATTTAAAAAATTAATTCAAAGAAGTACTTTATTTAAATTAAAATTTAAAAGAAAAAATAGAAATTTTTTTCTAGTCTTTAAAAGTACAAAAAAGGAATTTTTTAATAAATTCTCGCGATAATTTTAATAAAAATAAAAATGAATATTTAATGACTAAAGACTCACAAAATATGCACGGAAAATCGCAAAATATGCGCATATATATGCACCGAAAAAGTCCCAAATATGCACTGAAATATGCAAAATTTCCCAAAATATGCACTAAATATGCATCAAAAAATGGTGAAAAATTGCTGTAAAAACCGAAATTTTAAGTATAAAACACTAATTTAGCCTAGAATTTTGAATTTCAAGAACACCTATAAAAGATTTTATTGATATAAAATTTATGTTAAAATTTTTTTGAAAAAAAATTTTCGTGAAAATTTTTCGAAAAAATTTTTTCGAAAAATTTTTATAAGAAATTTTTTAAACAAAAATTTTTAAAATTTTCTACAATTTTTACTAAAATTTGCCAAAAAATGACGAAATATGGAACAAAATATGCAAAATTTCCCAAAATATGCACAAATATGCAAATATGCACGGGATGGCCGAAATATGCAAATATATGCATTAAGAACCGGTTCCTAAAGTGCTCGGACCAACGTAAAAACACCATTTTTGGGCTTCTCAGCTCAAGGCATATCCGCTCACAAAACATGCATTTGCATGTTTTGTGAGTCCATAATTATAACTAGTCCTGCTCGGCCGGTACATTTAACGTCATTTTCACAACAAAGTTTAGAAAAATTTCTTTTTTACTTTTAATATTGAATAAAAATTGAAAAATTTTAACCAAATTTCTTCCATATTTCAATTTCCTCGTCCATATAATTTCCAGCCCTAGTTGTAACTCTTAAATAAGGGCTCCGAGGAAAAACTGTTATTTGCGCAGTTTAAAAATGTATTTGCTCTATAACTTGAGACAATATTTTTGACTGCAGGCATAATCTTGTCAAGTTATACTCACAAATTTAAGGCATTTTAACATAGTTTTACGTCAAACTTGAATACCCCCACTAATGCCAAGCCGTTTTCCAATCCCCGACTCAATCTTTTGGCTCTCCTTTCTATCACTTATCCACTTTTCACCCCCAAGCTCCAACCCCTTTCTCTCTACTACTTAGTTTGGAAGAAGGAAGAAGATGTTGGTTCATTCTTTGTTTTTTGTTGTTAAATGTTTTGGAATGGAGATGAGAATGTTTATTGGAATTAATTTATTTTTGATTTTGCCTTGTATTTACTTTTGATTTTAATGCCTTATTTCATTTATATTTTGGACTATTTTAATTCATATATCTTTTGATGCTAAATAAATATTTGTTAAAAAGCCCTCTTTATTTATTGAGATTAGGGAGAATCCTCTGCGCCACCCCAATCCCAATCCGACGTTTTGTCATCCTGTCTTCCCCCTCCTTTCTCCTTTCTGGCGCTCCGAAGATACCGGGAGGAAAAGTCCTGACCGTCTGTCCCGCGTATAACTATAGAAATAATGATTTTACTACAATCTAAATGAATAAATGTTTTGTAATGTTTTAGATAAAATAATTCCCAAATAACATCCTTTTTCTATCACTAAATTTTCTTTAACATTTCTTCAGTCGGAATCAGTTTCAGGATCCTCATTTAAAACAATTTGTTTCCCTTTTCCTTTAGGATCCTCATTTAAATCAATTTGTATCCCCTTCCCATTACGGTTCCCAGTTGACATTCCATGGCCATGAAATGTTGAATGTTCTTGATCTGTTGGCTCTTAAATAATTTAAAATAAAAATATTTTCAAAATATCTAGACCTTGAATTATAGGTCCTCGAGCTCGACCTTGTTGTGCTAAAAACATTCGACCAGACTCATCCATAGCTTGTTGCATTTGTTGAGGATTAAATTCTATTTTTTAAATTTTAATAATAAAATATTATAGACTGAAATCTCTCTCATAAATGGTGTGTTAATAAATAATCCACACTAACTAATCCTAAGTAATTCTTACTTTAGGATTAAAAAATGGTCAAAGGATTACAAAATCGCCATCTAACTTGTTTTCCTAAACCTACTATCATTTAGTGACATTTTGTGTAAAATTTATTGCTGCTAGAATAAAAATGGTAGAATAAAGAAGAATAGAAATAAAAACGATAAAAATGGTTGAAAAAGTTGATAAAAAAATTGGTGAAAATGTTGATAAAAATAATAAGTTGGAAGTTGAAAAAGTTGATAAAAATAAAAATTTGATAACAAATTAGATATTTGAAGTCTTTAAAAGCATATACTTTTTATTCCCTTTAAAAGACAATCACTTTTTTCCACTAGTTGTATACTTTTCACCACTTCATTACTTCTTCCTTGTGTTTTTCCTAGCAACTTTTCACTTTATGCGGACTTTCCCATTAGACACCTTTCTTTTATTCACCACACTTTTTAATGTATTTGTTAAATTAAATTAAAGTAAATAAATTTATTAAATTTATTTAAATGTTTTTCCTAAATTAGCGATTTTCTGAGCAATCGCTAAAAATTTATAAAATAGCATTTGAACATCAACAAATGCAACAAGCTATGGATGAATCTGGTCGAATGTTTCAAGCACAACAAGGTCGAACACAAGGACCAATGATTAGAGGCATGAATATTTTGAATATATTTTTATTTTTAAATATTCAAGAGCCAACATGTCAAGAACATTCAACATTTCATGGTCATGGAATGTCAACACAATTGATTTTTTTTTTCAAAAAATCAAACAAATTGATTTTTTTTATGCACCACTTTAATGTATTTTAAAATACCTGTGGTTTGCTGATAAATAAATAAATAAATAAAACTCGATACCCTAAAGGGAAGGGGAAACAGATTGATTTAAATGAGGACCCTAAAGGAAAGGGGAAACAAATTGATTTAAATGAAGAGCCTGATTCTGATGATTCTGATTAAAGAAATGTTAAAGAAATTAGAGTGATAAAAAAAGAAAGTTGGAATGATTTTATTGAGAACATACGAAACATGGATCCATTATTATTATTAAGAAAGAGAATTTTTATTTTTTTTCATATCACCAAAATGCCTCAACGATCATTTGCATAATGAAATTTTTAAATTGTCATTCCCATTTGATAAAATTACGATCCTATTTTTCTCTAATTATTTTAAATATAGTCTGAAGTTAGAGAAAGATGAGAAAATCGATCAAAAGTATAAAAATGTTTTGCTTATCTCGATATAAGGGGATAGCTAAAACAGATTTTAAAAAGTGAATGACAAATTTGAAAGTTAATTTCAAAAAAGGCAAGACTTCGACGAATGGAAAAAGCAATAAGGAGAAAGGTCTTTACATATATACTAGAATAAATTTTCGTAAAACCTTTATAAAATGGAAACATTTATCTATGATTTTTGAAAATTTTTAGTCAAAAAGAAATCATTTAAAGATTAATTTTTCAATGAATAAAAATTTGTTTGTATCTTTGAATAATTTTAAAAATCATTTCCTCAGAACTAAAATAAAATAAAACTAAAATTAGCTAAACTTAAATCAAATAGTCATTTCCTCAAACTTCAAAATTTTTAAATTTGTTCTTCAACTTTTTCAAATAACATTACAAATCTATTCTTAATGAAATCGTGGATCTTTTTGCTTTCTTTTGCCTTTTGGATCGTTTGAAGATTGTCCTTGTTCTTGGTGTTGAGGAGGTTCTTAATTATTTAAAATTAGAAAAATTTAATTAAATAATTAAAAAGCCTCGTATTATTGGGCCTTGATGTTGAAAATGAGGTTGAATATTTTGAGTGGACTCAAACATTGCTTGTTCCAATTGTCTTTGATATTCTTTATATTAACAGATAATTTAAATATTGAAAAGTTTTATTACCTTCTTCAGAAAAGGCATATTGAGAATGATGGCCGAACGGATGGTCAAAGTGATAATCATGTTGATCAATTCCAAAATTTTGGTAACCATGGGCTTGTCCTTAAATTTAATCTTATTAATAGAT